GATCCCCATGCCACAGCTCAGCTTTTCACCTCATGGAACCGAACCTGAGCCATGTGGGAGACAGAAACCAGACCGTAGATCACGGCTGCTTACTTACATTCACATTATGCAAACATATTTATTTGTTCACTCCAAAATTCTCCTCGGAACTGACTTTGCGGCTAATGCAGATGGCAGGCGAAGCGAAGCGTAAAATGCTTTGTAAATTATTATGGCAAGCCCGTCTGCGGGGGGCTGGGTGCTTTACTCCGTATATAAATATTTTTCCTCAGATAAACAAAGTATTTGCGTTGAGCGAAGCTTGTGGGTATGGGGGTCCTGGTGTGGGGGCATGTGTTGTGTCATAAATTTCAATTGACTTATGAATATGGAGAGGATATTTCCATGGAAAGTTAAAGCGCCTACACGTGCCTATAAGTCTAAAAGTAGGCAAGAAATATGGCGTTTAAATTTATTTTCCATTTTACTAATTTTATGTGTAACCTCCGCGCGAACGCTCAATTATTTATTTTAGGTGCAGTCTGAGGTTTTAAATGAACATTAAAACATTGAGTTGCTTCGAAGAAAAATACATCTATAGAATCTAAATTAAAGACCTTTGAAGATATGACCATCTCCGTCTACCTGTCTGTTAATTTGTGTTTATTTCTCAGTTTCGCTTTATTCACTGGAGTTGCCATGCTCTGTAAGGGGCCAACTAGATTTTGTTTCTTTATTTATTTCATGGGAATTTCATTGTTTGTAGAGCGCTTTGTTTGTAGGTGAATTCTGAGCGCGTTGCAAGAAATTCTTAAAGTCTGTTATTTTCTTTGGAGCCATTCAAAATGTATTTTTCAGCGCGACAATAAAAATCACGGGAACAAACATATTATATTTTTACGACAGACAAGGTTCTTCCAACACCTCTCCATCCCTCTTATAAATTACGATTTCATTTGTATTCAGGCATGGGGTGAAGTCTAGGCGATTCTCATAATTACATTAAGCATATTAAACGTCTCGCCCTCCGTGTTAGTCTCGTACTCCTTCCAATCCTCCCCACTCTGTACACCCCATCCGGAACACGCGGGGAGGCCGCATCTCTTGTCCTTGGAGCCAACTAATAACGTGTCATAAAAGATTTTCAGCGCTTTAAGTGCGTGTGCGTGTGGGTGTGTGTATGTATGTGAGTTCGGTGTTTATGAAGCGAGAAATTCTGAAGCATCTTTCAAATTTTTACACTCAGAAAAAATATGAATTTCCACTGGTTAATAAGAGGTCAATAAACATTTTTCAAATATACAAATGATTGCTAAATAAAACTTTAATACATCATGGATATTCTTATGAACAAATTTATAGTTTAATAAAATTCATTTATATAATTATTTATTTCTGTGTGTATGTGTGGGATGGAGCTTGGTGGTGCGCGTGGTGTCTATTACACCCATAATACGTGTGTGGGCGCCAATGCTGTTGGCTTACGTATACTAATTCCTTGACTCGTTGTTAAGCACTAAATGCATAATTCGTAATTAATGGCAATTAATTGAACTGCATCCCACTCTTCCCCAAAAAGAGTGGTTTAAAGATAGTGAGAGATACCGTTTTTATTGTGCGGGGTGTAGCTGAGTGGCGTCGGATGAGGTAAGATTTGGGAGTTTATGCCTGGCAAAAGATTCGTGTGGAGGGGCAAAGCTAATCAATTATAATTATTAATGTCAAATCATGTCTATTTTTTTAACGAATAATTTTAGTTTCTTTTCGGACCGATAAGAAATACATTACCTCATAATTTGAATTATGTTCCACGCCGACATTTGATTAATTATATGGTATGGGCTTTGAATGAACCTTCCCTCCGCTGACAATACGAATAGTAAAACACACCTCAAAGTTCCTGTCGGTATAAAAACCATGTAATGCATTTTTCCATAAGTTATACAAATAATTCCTAGATACTGACGCCCCTGTGGCTGTCAAAATACATTTAAAATCGTTTGTTTATTTGGAATTTACCTATACGTTCAGATAAATAAAACTACATTTACTAAACAAATCTTACCGTACCGCATTCTTTGGACAATTTTATTTATTAGTAGCTTATTTTGTTAAGAACAGTTGGCACTAAAATATTTTAAAATGCCTCAACATAATACCTTACCATACAAACAAAAAATTGTACAAAAATTACAAAGTTTATGAAAACATTAGTAGCTTCAAAAATCCTGTGAAAGGTGGTACAATGTTCTTGTCAGCATGTTACTGTTTGCCGATATCTGCTGGTTTTGAGAACAAATTATTAAAGTGCAAACGGCTTTTGAATTGATAAACAAAATTCTGGGGGTATATTGAAAATTCTAAGTATGAGGAAGCGATTTACTCATCTCGGCATACAACCTAATTTTTGTCTCGCTCAAAGTACATTCAAAAGTTTCCCATTTGTCTCACAATTTCCAAAGTGTTTAGCCTTCAACTCTGATTTTTGTTGAATTTTATTGAATGGCTTTGGTCAATCCTATGTAGTCAGATTTGTTGTTAGAGTTTCTGTATTAAGTAGAAATTTGATTTGAAATAATTTTTGTGAGAATCCAAAGTCTTAAAATTCCTTAAAGCTTAAACTTGAGGTCCATGGAAATAATTCCCAATATTTTAACATTTTTGGGACAGATTGAATGGTAGTCGAATCGATGAAATTTTTGTATCGTATTACTTTTGGAGAGTGTGTACCAAATACTAGCCCTTTGTGAAAGTATCAAAAATAATGTTATTAATTAAACAAAATATTTGTTACGTAGAAAAGTCCTTTGAAATGACACTGCTACTTTCTGCTACTTCCATGCTAACATACTTCTAATCATAACATCACGCTCTGCTAACGAAATTCAAACAAAGGATAGCCGTTAAATTTCCCAACCAACTCTCCCGCATTCTCTCTTTCAGGATATTCTCTGCTCCTCGGCAGTTTCGTCAAGTTGAGCGCAGGAGCCATCGGCATTGAGAGAGAGAGAGAGCGAAACGTCCGAGAAAACCGACCACCATTTTGCAGAGCGCCGAACGAGCGACGAACGGTAAGCCGGGCAACCGAAAATCACTTTCTGGGGCGATGCTTGCGACGATGGCGAGAAAAATCAGCAGTTCCATTGATAACGCGCAACGAATTGGATCTCAGGCACACTTGGAGCCCCAGCAGCAGTGTCCCCTCCGCAGCAGCAGAAGCAGCCCCCTGCTCCAAAAGCCGTGGAAAACAATAACGAAAAAAGAATTAAGAAGCTTTTCGGCATAATCGGTCAGTGTGTGTGTGAGTGTGTGTTTTAAGCGAGGGACTGACTGTGTGAGCGATGCTCATGTTCATGCATTTTTCATAAATTTCGGTTTCGCTATGTCTGTCTCCGTCGATTCGTCGGGCGTTTTCCGCAGCGCGTGTGTTTAATTATATAGCCGCATCCTGGGGGTACCGCCATAAGCATCCGCAACACAAGCAACAACTGTAGAAAGCGAAACTGCAAATTAAATTAAACTTGCGCAATCTGCTGATTTTTTTTTGCCATTGGGTGTTTGTTGCTAACAATTCACTCTCGTCTCTAATTAGACAGTGCAGTGCAGAGAGTAGAAAGACACAGAAAGCGAGAAATACTGAGAGAGCAAACGAAACTGGTTGCATTATTCTCCGGGAAGAAGACCTCAAGATTAGGTGATACAAGTAAGTGAAAATTTCTAGCAATCAATTCCTGTGCGATTCTTTGTGAATTATTAAAAGTTATTTTAGTGGCTAAGATATATGTACATATGTATGTAAGTTCCATAATTTTTAACTGTTTCGTGGTTCGGGTTGCGAATTAGATCACTGAACCATCGAAATCTGTTAAGCTTGGGCGATAGTTTTTGTCCACAGAAGGTACTCCAGCATAAACCACTAAATCATTTAGATAACGATTATTTTAATCTTTTTCTTAGTGGACATCTGTATCGCAGTCATACAAATAAATTTGACATTGTCTGCATACTCTCAAATGGTTATTCGTGTTTCCAAAAACAAAGGTGATCCTCTACTAATTTACCTACACTGTAATCCCTTGTTAAACTTATATATTAAAGCCCATTCCAAATATTTATTAATACATATTTCAATGTCACTCAGCCCAAAAGGACTGAACCTGGACCTCCCCCGACAGTATTTCAATTAAATTCATATTAAAATTTCATTAAACTCAAAACGCCCACAAAATGGCCACTAATTAGTTTGGACCGCCCTGCCCCATGGCCCTTAAGACAACCCATGACCTTCGGCCCACAAAAAAACAACAAGAACAGCACAAAAATTCAAGGCATTTCCTATATAGGGCAGCGAAAAAAAAGAAGGCAGACGGCCTAATTAAACTTTGAGGGCAAATGGGGGAGCGCAGATTCCGACTTTGTTTTGGACGTTTTCCCGGCCTCTCATTTAAAGCGACGACATTTTCATTTCAACCTTTTCAGCAATTTTTTGCGCCCTCTGCTGATTTATCTATATGGATATATATATATGTATATACATATACGTATCGCTGTAGGGGGCCGCACTGCCAGTCTCCCGCAAATATTTTATTTCTGTTTTCGCACAAAACGATTTGAGAAGGACGTAGCTGGGCCGTTCGCCTGTCGTCCAGTTGGCGTCACATAAATTTTCATACATTTTCCACCAGCCCCTCGCCGACAGCCCCTTTACTACAGCTCGACCTGCCCCGCCCCGTGACTACTCTGGGCTGACAGCGACTTAATGAGCTGCGGAAGTTAATGTGCAACTTGGCTCTGACTTGCTTCCATTTTTGCCGGCAAATTTATTTGCATATTTGGGTTAATTTTGCTACTCTGTATGGGCTTTTCTTTTCTTTTTCCCATGACCAGCATTATTTTTAGACCCCGTTTTCGTTGGGTTTTTGCTGTTTTTCTGACCTACTTTCGGTTTAATTAACATGTTCCATCATTTGTCTACCCCCAAGGCTATCTGTACAGATTGAATAAAACGCAATTTTTTTCGTGTAAAAATGTTTTTATTTTGTATGTTTTTTTATGTAGTACAAAAGTGTGGATGTTATGAAGTATAGAACAGTATGGAATACGAAGAAACGCCAGAAGAAGAAATGGCCAGGGGAAGCCAGCAGTCTAGGAAGCAGTCTAGGAAGCAGCCTGGGAAGCGTGGAAGGGCTTTAATCATTTCTCAAATCTGAACTAAGGCATTTTCATTCATACTCACAGATCCTATTGTGTACAAGTATCAGCGCTATTGGGGGTGTTGGTGCGAGGGGGCCTCCTCACCTGCAGATAATAGTAGAGAAATTATATATTTTAGCTAATGGCTTACCACTATGTAATAGCACTCCATTCATACTCACTGCCAGCTGGTGTTGCGAGTATTACATGATTCCGAGTACGAGTATGGGTACGAGTATGGGCACGAGTATGGGTACTAGTATTATATTTGTGGTATCGAGTTGCCGTCGAAGGTAGGTATGGTAGGTTTGGAAAAGCTGTTGGTATTAGAGGCTTAGTTTCTATTCAATATTCAAAAAGGTCATATGAACACTACCTCGTGTAGGACAGGTGCAAATCGGACAGAAGCAAGCCGCTTGTTGGAGAAGTTAAGCCAGAAAGAAATGGTCCGAGAGGGGTTTGAAGATACAGTACACAGATACCAAGATACAAGTACGACAAATGCACAGAACAAAATTTTAATTTAATCAGAGAGCCAAAAAATTGTTTACTATTTTTCACTGTATCCTTAATATTATTTTAAACTTTTTACTTAATTCTAGCCGAAAATTGAAATTTTGATGATTTTTTTCCGAAAAAAAAACTTATTTTGTATTTTTATTTTCACGGAGATGCTCCCAGGTGGAGCTCTCGACACAAACTAAATATTCTGGGCTGGCTTTACAGTTAGAGGCAAACGAAAACACGCAGTGCCTACTTGATGTTGAAAATTTGTGTTTCGTTTCCCAAAATTTGAAAAACAAACGCCTGCTGAGTGTTTTGCCCAAGTCCCAACGGTGCCAGGGGCAAACAAAGACCTTCCCGGAACCCGAAAGAGTGATGTACGCGTATCAAAGGAACTGTTGACTCTTGTGGCCATACTCGTACAATGAGGCACCCACGCGTTCCACATGCGAGAAAGGAGAATTGTGTAAATAGCTCTCGCCCACTCTTACAATCAATGGCAAGAAATTTTTTGTGTAAACACGTTCGTGCCTTCCCCTCCCATGACCCACCATGCCTGGCCGTGCACTACCGGTTCACTCAGCCAATTTTCTTTTATTTCTGCTATTTTCCTGTGTTGTTCGCTCCCATCTTATTACATTCGTGAAAAGTGCTTGGGAGCCCAAAGAGGGAAAGCTCTTTAATCAAAGCCAGCGACAAAACCGAACCGTGAGCGAATCTTCTGGGAAAATTATTCTGCACCAATCTCCAGACTTGGCCACTGCTCGTGGCCTATTTGTATGCTCAAGTTCATTAGCGTCAGTCGGCAAATATTTGCCAGAGTTGGCAATTTCTCGGTTTCGCCTTTTTCTGCTGCGCGGCTGCTGATTCGGCTCCTGATACTTGGCTGCTCTGCAAGCAATTTGGCTTCAAGCAACAAACATCATTAAATTTAATTTGTTGCCAATATTGAACTTACTTATGCTTGTGTGTGCCGATGGTACCACTCAGGGCGGGATGGGCTAAGACAGAAAGGGTCAAAGAACTTCTGGCTTCTGCGGCGTCTCTAGGAAAGAGACTAAATAAAGTATATTTAATTACATCTAGCTTTTCGACTTTGAGCCAAACTGTTGGTTTGACGAACAAAAAAAACCCAATTTGCGTGAATCTATTTCTGCATTTTTTTAACAATTTTCTGCAGACTTCTGTCGCCTTCTCTCCCATCAACAACGTTTTCTTATGGTACTTACAGATCCTTTTCGTCCACATCCACTTTATGCTCTGAAAAATGGAATTTTCTCTTTTCTATCTCACCCATACCGCACAGTTCTCAACTGTGTAGTTCCCACATATTTGATTCAGTCTCTTTGTCAATTGGAATGGACAAAGTGATTGCTTGGTATGACAGAATAATTAAAGCAGGTATATCTTATTCCGTCTAACCGGCAGATGTATTTCAAGTGTATCATCTGCATTCAATAATGTAACAAATCTTACGAGCAAAGAGCGGCCCGTTGATTTTAGCTGGGGTACCCTCCATTTATGCGACCCGTGACCCGTGACCCGTTTTGAGGCAAAAAGTAGTCACCCAGTCCTTGCTTTTAGAATCATGGGCGTTCATCTTCCTCCTTCAGTTTCGCTTCCATAGACCGTCTGTGTTGACCATCAGCCTGGTGATCAAGGCCCTTTATTGGGCCCTTTGGACCTTTATTGTGCACTTTCTGACACAGTCAGCCGTTTTCATTGTTGCCCATAATTTGGTGAGAAAACTGAAACACGGGTGTTTGAAGTGCAATATTTACACCAAATCATGTTTTTCCATTCAGAAGAAAAATTATATTTTAGGTACCACAGAAGTCCGTTGGGTATTTAAGTGCAGACATTATTTATTTGTCTGTCTAATGAGACTATTCGCTTTTAATTTCTCCAAGTTTCAAATATTTATCAGCTTGTAAAAGCTTGTATTGAGCCGAGGAAAATAATTATGTTTGTTAATTTTCCTTGTGTAAATATAATTGTTATTTCTGTCACCTGATCTGCGCTAGAATTCATCAAGTTTCATCCTTTTCGTTGGGCATTTAAATACCTAAAGGCCCTTAATGGGTTAATAAAATATATCTTCATTTTAAAGATTATTGCATCTGGCTCGCTCTTCAAATTTTAGGATTTAGTCAGGCGTAAATTAAAGTGAAACTCGAACGCTTCGTGGCACCTGCCGATATGATGAGAGTTGCGAGAACTTAATTCATTTTTAATGCTGGACTGACTCACTCGAAACGCTCTCGAAGGCGCAACTTTGCCACTCAATGCACTTGAGTGCGAGCTGGAGGTAGAAAACGGAAAGGAAATCAAAAGTTAAAATAAACTTCGTTGTCCTTGCGCCCGTCGCCGTCGTCGTCGTCGTCGCCGGTGCCGTTTGTTGTCCTTTTTCGGGGGCCTGCTGGTGCAGCTCCTTATAAAGTTCCCGGATATCCGGTTGTTGTCTTCGGCATTCATTTTTCGTCCTTATGCAATGCACTTCTCCACCTCCTCCACCACCATGCCGTTCTCCTCTGGCGCCGTTCCTTGTTGTGTTTAATGTTTCATTTATTTGTAGTTTCGTGCTGTGGCACGGACCATAGAGAGGAAGAGGGAGAGCGAGAGGGCGAGAGAAAAGACAACCAAGGAGCCTTTGCAAGGACTCTGTATTGTACTCGGGTCCGCTGTTTTACAACGAGTATTTGACGCTTGTTTACTCATTTCCGGCTGCAGCTTGCATTGTGTCCTGCCCGAGGACCTTACTCTGCACTGCGTAATGTCGTCCCAGCTCGTGGGACCCGGGACTCGAGACTCGAGACTCGGGGCTCTCCTGTCTGTCACTGAGCGCTGGAATACTTTGTAGCTCCCATTACAAAAATGCTTTAACTTTAATTTGGACGCGGCGCGGCTCTCCGCCAGGAAGTCTTTTGCTATTTAACAAGCAAGAATGGCAGAATTTCGGTAAGATTTATTAACGTTGTTTCTCAGGTTACCAATCAGTGGAAGTGTAGGGCGATGGATGGAGAAGACTGTTAGGGTTGGGTTGGGAAGACTGCCAGTTCCGTAAATTCAAATGCCAATGCGAATGCAAGATTATTTCACTTATTGTGTACGTGTACGTGTACGTCAATGTACGTTCTTTTGTCACCCTCAAAAACTAAACCCAACTCAACGCAAGGCAAAAGTTTCGCCCATCTGTGCCTGCGGCACACAAATAAAAACTTTGTCGATGCGGTTTGCGCTTCTAATTTGCCTCAAGGCAAAAGCAATCAATCAATATTCATCAAAATGCTATTTAATTTGAATGCAAACGTCTCGCGCCTCAACACTGTCACGTCTTGGCCCTGCCCCACCCCCAGACGGGGAGGCACGCAACTTTCATTACTCACAGAACGCGGCGACAACGCGAACTTTGAAGTGTGGCAGCAGACATTGAAGGAGTGCCGTGCCGTGGCGCAGGGAGGATCGGGCCAGGAGTGCCACGGAAACTAACGAACGTGCGACAGTTCCAAGTGGCTGCCACATCTCCGACCCAACCCAACCCGACCCAACCCGTCCCAACCCAACCGAGTTCCAATTTCAATTTATCAAGCTGCAAAAGTTTCAGCCATCTCAGCCTGGGATGATGCATTCCAAAAATTGTTTGACTGTTCCGTGTTTGTTAGCCGTTCTGGGTGTAGTTGGGACCGTGGCTACGCGTTCCTCTGATTCTGATTCTGAGCTCGAGCTCTAGCTCTGGCCCCCCTCCTAGCTGCATGCTAATTGCGGCAGCCAAACCTGTGGCATACTTTTCATCGTTGCCCTTTGTTCCACCTGTCTGGTGCCTGGGCTTGCCATTCCACACGCTTTTCAATTGCTCCACCTAAGACGAAGGCTCTTCGTTAGCCCGGTTTCGCAGAGCAAACAACTGGGTCGAAAATAAACGAGGAGAATGGGGTGCATTTGTGCGAGCACAGAATATTTATCCCACCCGCGCACACGGACATAAACTACCAATATAAAACATCCATTGCCCGTCCCTTATTTTCTTCCTTACACTCATATACTCGCACTCGCAGTCATTGCAGTATGTAGCATACGTTATTGGATCATTGATGAGTCAAAGGGAAAAAGGTCCGATGCGAGCTGACTCCGAAATTGGAAGCTGTAAATTTTAAGATGCCTCGCAGCACGAAATTACTGAATTCAATTGGGGGGGATTGGAAACGAGTGAACGAAATTTAATGCAACCTAAAGGTGAATGTAAGCGAAAAAACGTTTCTTTTCTTTAAATATTAAAGCCCAACCAATGGATATCCGTAGATAAATGAGTTTAGATCTCCGAACCAATCCATAGATTATGCAATTTCCGAAATATACTTTCTATATTCCCATTCCATTCACAAAGATAAAGCTGCAAGCTTGAAGGAATTGCTTTTTGGTCTGATAAGACCTGTCAGACTAATATAAATTTTATGGGGCCCACAGACGTACTCAGACTCCACTTTTCAGGGGCTGGGAGAAGGAAAAAAAAAGAAGAAATTATTTTAAAGACCACAAAAAGCATGTCCTTGTGTGGCACGTTAAGACCACTTAATGCACGCCAAAAGCAGTTTATATATGTGCTGGCTGGCCATATAGAATGGCTCATAAATACACTCACACACATGCACACTCAAGCACTCACAAGACATACACACACACACACACACACACACACACACACACACAATGGCGAACAAGGCCAACGACACATGTTCTGGGTTTTTGGCCCCTGAGCCTCAGCCTGCTTCGGGGCATCATTTGGAGTCCGTCCCTGCTTGTGTATGTGTATGCGGTGTTAATAATGCTCTTGATGTGTGCTAAAGACAGTTCCAGACTGCGACAACCCAAATACATGGCCGACTGAAGCTAGTTTCATGTCCGTTGCTGTTGTTTCTCTGGTTGCTGCTGCGGCTGTTCTTGAAGATCTGGCTTGTGCTTCTTCAGCTTGTGCTTTTGGTGTTGTAAATAGAGAAACGGCAGCAATGCTCAATGCACTTTATGGAAAAAAAATAAGTCTTTGAATATGACATTAGGATCTATGTGGGTGCTACTGGCAGACTG